ACCGGCCCCCTCCCGGAGCTCCCGCGCGTCCTGGCGCCGCACTTCCTCCCACCCAGCGCGCACCCCGATCCGACCCTCGGCGGGGTCCCGCCCACCTCAGCAGTCTTTGTGATTCTTAAGTTCATAAAACAGCAGATATGAATGGGACCATCGGAAGATTTACTGAGCACTTTTTAAGGACTACGCGCCTTCCAAGCGTTCTACCGTGTGATCCTCACAACAGCCCTGCTGAGAGGCAGCTTTAGACAAGCAGCACAGCTCGGCCCTGCTGTCAGGCTGCCTGGGCTCATATCCCACCCAGCGCTCACTGGCTGAGAACCCCCGGGGGCCTCAGCTATAAAATGCGGACGAGATTACCTACCTCATAGACTTGGGCTGAGGAGTAAATGACTTAAAGCACTTAAAACAGCATGTGGCACACAGTGTCTGCAATCGTTGAGCGACTGCTCATAGTATGACGAAGGTACTATTATGATCCATTTTTATGGAAGTTGAGTAACTCGCCGGAGGTCATAGTTACTAATTGATAGCAATGAGAGTGAAACACAGGCTATTTGATTTAAGTTTACTACGACTAATAATTTTTTAATTGCATTATTGAGGCCCAAGGATAAACATTTAGGTAAGGCTGATTTTCCCAAAATATTTACATCCGAACTTTCTGAATTTGAATATTTGGAACTTTTTAAAACTAGCACTGAAAAAAGTACTGTGTGATTATTTTGAAGAAAACAGAATATACATATAAGCAGGTGGAAGAAATCTCCATCCCCCACCCCAGAAAGAATAACGGGAACATGTACTTGAGCTGTTTTAGGGTTTTTTTCCCCAGGATTTGATATATCAGTCTGAGTCCAGATCGAGCCCTCTGCTCAATCCAGTTCAGTCTGTCTGAGCATACAAGGACAGCCCTGCTCCCCAACCCCACACCCCCGCCTTAAGGGGTATTGGCAGAGATCTGATCAGAGAACTCAGTCAAAGAGAGAAGGGTCCAGGCCTGGTGTGTTGGACAGTATTCTTGGTTCAGCAGAACTGGACACAGATGGGAGCAAAATCCAAAAGAGAAACATTACATCCCCAGGGTCATAGGGGCTCAGGCACCTCTATCCTGAAGCCCCTCTAAGGGATGGCTACGCAAAGGGGATAGAACCTTTCCCTGCTCAGCCCCTACAGCTTTAGCCTCTGAAGGATGAGGGCAGCTAAAGCCACGGAGCTACCCAGAGCAGTACTGACTGGTGTCTTCATCCAGTATGGATGCATTGTCACCCCAAAGAGACAAATATTACACCATGCGAGTAGAGAGAACACAGAGTGGAATATTGAGTCATTGGTTCCATCCCAGCTATGCCACTTATAGCTATGTGACCTTAGTCAGGTTACTTAATCCCTCCGTGTCTCAGTTTTCTCATCTCTACAACAGTGGTAACAATAATAGTGTCTACCTTAGAGGGCAGCTTCAAGAATTAGGTGAGATCTTCTGTACAAAGTGTTTAGCTTGGGTGTCTGATATACACAAAGGGATAATAAATGTTTTTATTTGGGCTGGCCGGTCAGCTCAGTTGGTTAGAGCGCAGCCTTGTAACCCCAAGGTCACGGGTTCAGATCCCCAACCAGCCAGCTGACAAAAAAAAAAAAGAATAAGTGTTTTTATTATATGTGTGAAGATCTGTAAATGTACTTGTAGCAGGTTTCAGAATGTAAATCGTGTGAGGTCCTTTGGCAAGGGTTGGGGGGAAAGCATTCCTGGCATCAAAAGAAGCTTCTCAGTGCATCCCAGTGGGAGGGTGATGGCCTCATAACAGCATCTACCCTCCTGTGGGGGTGGGGACGGAAATGGGCCACAGTAATTAGAGACTGTAGTTAGAATATTTTTGTTCTAAGGACTGGGGAGGGGGTGGGACTCTTAAGCCCTATGGTGAAAAAGAAAACAAGAGGTGTTTTTTGCGTAAGTCTAAAAAGAAGAGGCTGTGGGGTGTAAGAGGAAGAACAAGAGGTTAAGATTCTTGGGGAAAGCAGAGGTGGGGGTCTTCATTGGATGTGGCCCTGGAGTCCTAGGAGGGCCGGAGTGTGGAAAGCGGCAGCAAAATCACCAGAGGTGCTTCCGGGCAGGGGGACTAGCAAATGCAAAATGCTAAGGTGGGAATGGATTTACTTTTATAAAGGTGGGTCCATCTGTTCCGCCACTCATGGGCTGAGTTGGTGAATTTGACTGGGACTGGAGGATCAGCCCCTTCCCTAAATGTTCATCAAGCCCTGCAGGATACTTGAGCTCCCAGGCTGTGGCTCTCAAGCTTTACTGAGCTTCAGAATCACTGGGGGACAAGGAGAAAGGGTTGTAAAACATGGAGGCTTTCCAGCAAGATTCTCATTCATTAAGTTTGCGGTGGAGCCAGGAATCTGCATTTGTAGCTGTCGCCTCAATTAGGATGCAAATGAGCCCTCTGACCCCTTCTAGAAACACTGCCCAAAGACAGTGGTAACCCTTTATTAGGTGGTATATCAATTCAAGGAGTGGAGAGCAGCATCTTTTAAAAAAAAGAGAAAGAAAGAAAAGAAAAAAAGAAAGCATGCTCATAGTAAGGTTTTTTGTTGTTTCAGATAAGCAAAATTTAGTTAAGCAAAATTTACGGGAGAACATTGTTTTGGACTAGGCTCTTGCATTAGACCCCAACAGACCAGACCAAACCAAAAAGGAGTCACTCATGCTAAAGTTCCATGTCACCAAACCCGAACTAAGTTATCTGACCTTCCAAGAAATCAGGAGGGAGAGATAATAGCCAAATCTCCAAACAGTCCAGATTTAGCTGGCATGATAAGGAGGTCCCTTCTGTTTTAACCTTAAAAGGAAAGTAACTTTGAAATGACCAGTCTGCTTTTTGTTCCTTATTTCTGCTTCCTTCTGCTCATTTTGGCCTATAAAGCCAACCTCCTCTGCTCAGCTCATCAGAACACCTATTCTATTTTATAGAACGAAGTGTTGCCTGGTTCTAGAATCGCTAGTAGAAGTCACTTAGATCATTTAACTAAATTTGTTGTAATTTTGTCTTTTGACTATATGAGTGTATATGTGTACATATATATGTAGATATATGTAGGCATGTATATATATATATATATATATATGTAGAAATAAGTATATTTATGTAGACACTGGGGATTCAATGTATTTCTTTCTGAGGGTCATGGTCAAAAGTTTGAAAGCTGCTTAGAGCTGTAAGGAAACCTCTGGAGCCTTCATAGGAGTGGGCAGGGCTGTACTTGAACTTTAGGGCTTGCCTAGGCAGGACACCTGAGCTGGGGACAGAAAAGAAAGGACATCTTTTGGGGCCGGCCCGGTGGCGCACTGCTACAGTGAGCCACTTGGGAAGTGTGGCGGCGCTCCCGCCGAGGGTTCGGATCCCACATACAGACCGGTTCCCGCTCACTGGCTGAGCGAGGTGCGGGGAGCAAAACCGAGGGTTGCGATCCCGTTGCCGGTACGGGCCCAACACTGAGGGTTGCGATCCGTTGCCGGTCATGAAAAAAGACAAAAAGGAAAAAAAAAAAAAAAAGAAACCACAAAGGCTGGAAGGGAGTGATAAAACGTTCCTCGTGGACAAATAAAACAAACGGATTTGTAATATAATGTCAGCAGTGATAAGAACTACGAAAAAGACTCAAGTATTATGGAAAAAGAGCCTGCTGGAGGTGCTGGTCTAGAAAAGAAAATCTAGGAGGTCTCTTGGAGAAGTGGCACTGGAAAAAGCAAGCCGTGAGGCTGTCTGTGGAAGGAGCTTTCCAGGCGGAGGCACAAGCAAATGCAAGATTTCTTTTTATGCCATGAACTCTGCTCTCTTCTCACCAAAGAACCTCATACAGTTTACATTGTGTAAAAACCTGCTACAAGTATAGTCATATTTACAGTTCCTCACACATATGATAAAGCACTGATTAGCCTCTACTGTACGATACAGGTGGGAGCGTATTTATTTTTATAAAATTGGGATTATGTGCAAATCCTACTCTACAATTTGCCCCATCACTTGCTCATTTATGACATTTGCTTTTGGTCTTTTTTTTTTTTAACTTTTTTTAGTGAACATTTTAACAAGTTTTTTGGAAAGGACTATCCTTCCAGACCTTTACTCTCCCTCTGGCCTATTCTTCAAGGGCAGACCCAGTTCTGTCTGCCAGCCTTGGTCAGAGGGGAGGGGTGGGCGTTGATCGAGCCCCGCCCTGCCTGGCCCTATGCCCATTCTTCCTTCTTCCTCAGACCCCAATTCAGCCTCTCTGGTGTCATAGCTGGAAGTCATCTGACTGGGGTTTGCAAGGTTTCCAGGAGTAGCAATAAGACTATCAATATTGTGGGCTTCTATTCCTCCCGTGACATTTTCACAGCACAACCAGCTTCAACTGTCACTTTTAAGAGGGACGCAGCAGCCTGCCAGCACAGGCAAACTCAGACCACATGGGTCCCACGTGATGAAGTCCAGGCCCCAAGGAGAGTCTCTCTGCTCATCCAGACCAAACCAGATGAGACCAGATCTCATCTTCAGAGGGCCCTTAAGAGGGACATCATCAAACTGGGCAAGTCCGGGAAAGAACAAGCAACACAGCAATAAAGAGCCAAGAACTAGGATTTATTTACATAAGGCAGAGTTGGAGGCTTTGGTAGTGTTAGGCTGAGGAGATAAGAGGGACAGGGAGGGGTTTACATGAAATTATGTTGCTTATATCCATAGCATTCTATCTTGTGTCCTAATTGTCTGTCCATGACTGCCTTCCCCTTTCATTCTTTATTCAAAAATACTCAAAGAGCATCTGCTATGTGCTAGATGTGCGCTGTCTAATACCATAGCTACCAGCCCCGTGTAGTTATTTAAATTTAAAGTTAAATTAATTAAAATAAATACAATTTAAAATTCAGTTCTTCGGTTGCACTAGCCACCTTACAAATGCTCAAGAGCTACATGGGGCTAGTGGCTAATGTATTGGACAGTGTGGATATAGAACATTTCCATCATGGTAGAAAGTTATTTTTCAGTGCTGTGCTAGACCTTGTGGTAGACACCAGCAATACAAGTGAATATAAGACTCAGTCATGCCCTTGAGCTCACGGTCAAGTGAGAGAGACGAGTAAATGAAAAATTACACTATATCGGGGAAAGTGTGTGTGCTTTGGAAGCACAGAAGAAAGATGGCTAACCCAGTCTGGAAGAGGAGAGGAAAGGTTAGGGGAGACAGCAGAGAGGGAGATGGCCGCCGATCTGAGGATTAACAGCCAGACACAGATGGGTGAGGAAGTGTAAGGGAGAAGCGGTTTGGGTGGGAAGGTGATGTTTCCAATGTGAGTCGTGTCAACAATGAGGTATCTTTTAGACAGTCAGGTGAGATGGGCAGGTGGCAGTCTGGCTACAGATACCAGTTTAGGAGTCTCAGGTGCCTTAAGTCAAAAGCATGGGGGCCGGGAGCTGCATTCCTACAGCAGAAATATCTTGAGGTCAGGGATCTAGTAACTCAACTTTGTAGCTGCTCTGAGCCTAGCCCAGCGCCCCACAACAAAGCAATAAGTCTGTCTATCCTGGTTGTGGCTTGCCAGGCTGTTATGGGGAAGAGGGATGAAGTTTGTAGTGCGAGCTCTCAGCTCTGAATTAAGATCAGTGTTGCAGGTGGCATGGGGGTAGATCCCAGCTCCTGCTGGGAGGAAATCTCCCAACAACAGGCCATGGACTGAGAAACATCAACAGGGCTAGAGGAACCTAGATCAGGGATGCTGTGGAGGAGACTGGCACCCTGGGTTGGAAGACAGACCCAATGGCCAGCCCTGATATTCTGTGAAGGCAAACTCCTCTCGCCATCCCCACTGCCCTACAGGTACCCAACCTTCAGAAACTCCACAAATCTTCATTGAAAGTGGTTCTGCTGGGAGATCAGCACAGCAGGAGGCACCTACTAGGGTGCAAAAGAAATGTTGGCTAGGGTGTCCAGCCTGGCTGCGGGGAGGCCCAGCACATCGCCGTTGGCTATGTGGACCACAGGCAGCTGGTGCGGCTGTGGGTGGAGGAGGAGGGGCTGGAGTATTGGGACCCGAACCCGCTGCTCATCGAGAGCAATGAATTTAAAATCCAAGTGAACCCTGCACAGCTACTACAACCAGGGAGAGGCTGGTGATTTCAGGCTGGGAATTGGAACTCATTGGTGCCTCCTACGTTGGTAGACAGTTCACCTACAATGGAGTCGATTACATTGCCCTGAACGAGGATCCACGCTCCTGGACTGTGGTGAACACTGTGACTCAGATCACCTGGTGCAATTGGAAGAACCGTGAGTGATATGGCCAAGCGCCAGCAGTACCTGGAGGGGGAGTTCATGGAGTGGGTCTGCAGATACCTTGAACTTGGAAAGGAAATTCTACTGCATGTAGATACAAGAGCCCACAGAAGGACAAGTCACTGAAAATGATTGAACCTCCCAAAATACCTGCGACCCACTACCCCATTTCTGAGTGTGAGGTGACCTGAAATGCTGGGCCCTGGGCTTCTACCTTGGAGATAGTAGGGAGATGGGAAGGACCGGACCCAGGACACAGAGGTTGTGGAGACCAGGCCTGAGGTAATGGGAACTTCCAGAAGTGGGCAGCTGTGGTGGTGCCTTCAGGGGAGGAGCAGAGATCCACATGTCATGTGCAGCACTAGGAGCTGTCCGAGCTCATCACCCTGAGATGGGGTGTTATGGACTGAGTGTCTGTGTTCCCCAAAATTCATATGCTGAAGCCTTAACCCCCAAAGTGATGGTATTTGGAGGTGGGCCTTTGGGAGGTAATTAAGGGTAGATAAGGTCATGAGGGTGGACAATTGATGGGGTTAGTGTCCTTATAAGAAGAGGAAGAGAAACAGAATGCTCTCTCTCTCTCCCCGTCATGTGAGGACAGGAAGAGGCTGCTGTCTGCAAGCTAGGAAGAAGGCCCTCACCAGAAACCAGATCCGCTGGCACCTTGGTCTTGGACTTCCCGACCTCCAAAATGGTGATAAATAAATGTTTGTTGTTTAAGAAAAAAAAAAAAAAAAAGCTTTAGGGCCGGCCTGTGGCTCACTCGGGAGAGTGCGGTGTTGATAACACCAAGGCCACGGGTTCGGATCCTATATAGGGATGGCCGGTTGGCTCACTGGCTGAGCGTGGTGCTGACAACACCAAGCCAAGGGTTGAGATCCCCTTACCGGTCATCTTTAAAAAAAAAAAAAAAAAAAAAGCTTTAGGGCCGGCCTGTGGCTCACTCGGGAGAGTGCGGTGTTGATAACACCAAGGCCACGGGTTCGGATCCTATATAGGGATGGCCGGTTGGCTCACTGGCTGAGCGTGGTGCTGACAACACCAAGCCAAGGGTTGAGATCCCCTTACCGGTCATCTTTAAAAAAAAAAAAAAAAAAAAAAAAAAAGTTTTGATTAGAATCTCTGCCATTCATTCATTCACAAACATTCAACAAGCCTGTACTATGTACCAAGTCGGAGCTGTGCACCAGGGACACAGAGATGAATAGACTCTAATCCTGGAAACAATGTGACTGCAGCTATAGAGATTTTATCTTGTAGCTGCTGGTAGTGTCTGGAACTGTCTTCCCATTTGGACCTCAAGAAAGCACCAAGGGGTCTTCTTGCTATGCTGCTGGACTGTAACGTGTTTTTTTTTTTTTTTTTTTTTTTTAAAAGGATCTCAACCCTTGGCTTGGTGTTGTCAGCACCACGCTCAGCCAGTGAGCAAACCGGCCATCCCTATGTGGGATCCGAACCCGGGGCCTTGGTGTTACCAGCACCGCACTCTCCCGAGTGAGCCACGGGCCGGCCCTGGACTGTAACGTTTTGATGAAAGAAAGAATGAAAGGAAAAGGGGAGTGGGGAATTGGGGAAGTGTCCAAAGGAGGGATCTCTGCCTGGTTGGAATCAGGGGGAAACTCCAAAGAAATAATGTAACACCTCCATCTGGCCGAATAATAATTAAAAAGATGACATTAAAAACAAAAACAAAACATCTCGCGAGACCATGCTGCTGGTAACACCAAGGTCAGGTGTTCCGATCCCCTTACTGGCCAAAAAAAGATGACTTTTATTAAGTGCCTTCTCCGTGGTACCGGCTTTCCTTGGATTGTATAGATTCTTCTGGCAGGGTGATCTTGGGCATATAGTCCTCTTCTCTGGACCTTATCGACCCACTGTTACATTAAGAAAGCGGGGCGGGCGCTCTGGGTTTGGTCCCTGGGAGACGTCGAGCAAGCGGAACCGCGGCTCCGCGGCCGGCGAGGACAACCGGAGGCTTTTCCTGGGGACACCCACCCTAGCGACGCGCGCCTCGTTGCTAGGGGCAGAGGTGCGCGAGGCTGTGGAGAGCGGAGGCTGCGGATGCCCTCCGACCCCGCGTCCCCGCTGGCCTTATCTCCAGCCCCGCCAGCCCACCGGTGGGTATGGAGCCGACGTGGGAGAAGGGGGCGCAGCGGGCAGGCGGGGAGGTGGGAGCCCTTGCGCTATCCGGGCCGCAGCCGCTCACCTGGCCGAAGCGGAGAGGAGGTGCCGAGGACGAGCCTGGGGCTGGGTGGCCCTAGGTTCCCATTTGGGGGAAATCCGCCCCTCACCCCTCGCATACACATTAAAAATAAGCATCAGCCGTCCGCATAATGGGCGGGAAGAGGAGCATTTGTGATCTGAAGAGCCGGAAAGTAAAAACTGCACACAGGTTGTCCCCCGAACGTGGGGCGACTTGGGAGTTCTGGCCTAGTATCGACTCTCTGTATGACACTGGGCAAAACCCTCTTATTCTTTGGGCCTCGTTTTCCTCTATCTGTATTATTAGAGGATCGAACCAGACCACCTCCCAGGTTCTTGTACCTGTGGTTTTGTTTCTGTTTGAGCATTGGCTTAGATGCCTTGGTCTCTCAGAGTGTAGGTTGGATGTGTGCAGAGGGAGATTTGGGGAGAGGGAGAGAGAGAGGAAATCAGTATTTGCATGAACAGTGGACCAGGGAAGTCCAGGTAAATAAGGTCTGTTTCACCCAGCTCTGCCCCTACAGCAAGTCACAGCTCTCTGGATCCCAGTTTCTTCATGGGATATAACGTACTGGTGCATATCAAGAAATATTGCACGGGAGAGTTAAAACAGAATTCTCTGAGTTATGTTTAGCATGACCACTGGGTATTTCAAGGCCTTTGGAAAGCAAATTGGGGAAGAAATGGGTTCTGGGATTCAGATTTAGGCCTGGTTCCAAATGGAACCAACAGGGACATCTGGAGCCATAATCGAGTTCACAGGCTTTCCCAAGTCCTCTCCTGCCTTTCCTGGCCTGAAATCAGATGAGGCAGGGTGACTGCTCCCTGAAGGATATATTGTTGGGCAGTTTTAAAGGGCCTTTATGTTGTTGGATCTTTAAGAAGCTTCCTGCCATGCAGACTCTTCATCTTAGTATGCCATTCATTCATTTATTCATTCAACAGACATTTCCCTTGCATCCATCCTCCCAGGCTATGCTCAAAGCACAGATTCAAAAATGAACAAGACATTATCCCTCTTCTCAAGTGTATTATAAGTTCATAATATAAACAATGGAAGATAACTAAATAGTATTTTCATTTCTTTCTTTAGTCAACTCATAATAAATTACAGCATAGACATTACCCAAGTACGTACACGTTGTTCTCGAGATTTTAAATTGCCTTGCTATATAACATAATGAATTCTTAGCCTTATTGTGATCAATCACTCTTCTCAGGGTATATAATTGGCTTCAGTTTAATATGTTCCAGACTTATATATCCATTGTATATATTCTTTGTATATATTTTGTATGTGTGTTTAATATGTATTTTGTGCAGTATTAATAAAGGTGAAATTGCCACTTCCAGTATTATCACTTAATCTTGCAATCATGCTAGTAACCGTTATTTATTCTTAACTGTTTGCCAGGTTGAACAGAAGGCTTTATATGCATTAGCTTATAAATGCAGAAATGCAGTACAGTATCCTGGTCAAGATTAGGGCCTCTGGATTTGAACTACCTGGATTCAAGTTTCAGCTCTGCTACTTATTTGCAATGTAAACGAGCAAGTTATTTAACATCTTGGTACCTCAATTTTCTCATCTGCAAAATGATTATAGTAACAGCATCTAAGAGTCTTGAGGAATAGATTAAATGAGTTAATAAATATAAAGCACTTGGAACAGTTCCTGGCACATTTTAAATGCTATTTTTATTTATTTATTTATTTTTTATTTATTTTCTTTTTGTCTTTTTTCGTGTCCGGCAACGGATCGCAACCCTCAGTGTCGCGCCCATACCGGACTGGGACCGGCAACAGGATCGCAACCCTCGGTGCTGCGCCCGCACCTTGCTCAGCCAGTGAGTGGGAACCGGTCTGTATGTGGGATCCGAACCCTCGGCGGGAGCGCCACCACGCTCCCAAGCGGCGCACTGTAGCAGTGCGCCACCGGGCCGGCCCTTAAATGCTATTTTTAATCTTCACAGAAGCCACAGAGAGAGTTTTTATCCCATTTTACACATAGGAAACTGAGACTTAGAGAGTTCAGCAACTTGCCCAAGGCCACAGTGGAACTACAATTCAGACTTATTCCTATCTAATTCAGTTACTAATGCACTTAATCAAATATTATTCTGATTACTGTGTGTTGCTCTTAATTCTCTGAATAAGCTACACTGTCAATCAATAATCAGAATTTATTTGAATTCTTAAAATAGAGTTGTTAAAATGCAATAAAACTAGGTTTCTTCTCTGTAGATGTTTATAATAGAAATTCTGGACTAGAAGTCGAGATCTATCTAGTTGCAATTTTGAGCAAACAATGTTTCTGCTCTCATTCTGTAAATAAAGGGTTTATATATGATGATTTGTGTGTGTGTATGTGTGTGTGTGTGTGTGTGTGTGTGTGTGACCGGTAAGGGGATCGCAACCCTTGGTGTGGTGTTGCCCGCACCGCGCTCAGCCAGTGAGCGCACCAGCCATCCCTATGTAGGATCTGAACCCACGGCGGGAGCGCCGCTGCGCTCCCAGCACCGCACTCTCCTGAGTGAGCCACGGGTCGGCCCTATATATGATGATTTTTGAAGAGCTCTTCCATCTCAAATTCTATGATTCATACTTATTTAAAACAGGAGAAATTGCCTTTTTCAGAAAAGCAATAAACTGAGGCCACCCCGTGGCTCACTCGGGAGAGTGTGGTGCCGATAACACCAAGGCCATGGGTTCGGATCCTATATAGGGATGGCCGGTTGGCTCACTGGGTGAGTGTGGTGCTGACAACACCAAGTCAAGGGTTAAGATCCCTTTAAAAAAAAAAAAATAAATAAATAAATAAATAAATAAAAAAGAAAAAAAGAAAAAGAAAAACAATATGGGCCGGCCCGTGGCTCACTCGGTAGAGTGCGGTGCTGATAACACCAAGGCCCCGGGTTCGGATCCCATATAGGGATGGCCGGTTCGCTCACTGGCTGAGCGTGGTGCTGACAACACCAAGTCAAGGGTTAAGATCCCCTTACCGGTCATCTTTTTAAAAAAAAAAAAGAAAGAAAAAGAAAAACAATAAACTGAAGTAAGCAGTCAACTCTGAACGTTTTTGATGAACAGAAGTACTGTATGATGAGTAAAATGAAAATGTTTAATGATGCATTTAAATATATTCTCTTTTGCATATTTAAAAGTAGATGATTAAGTAAAATTATGGTATACGTTCCCTAATTGTTGGAAATGTAAGAGTTATACAGTCTTGGAATTGTGTAAGATATTTCTTTCTTTTTGAGGGAAAATTACACTTAATCTCTTCAATTAAATAAGGTCCATAGTTACCTTGTGAATCTCTTTTCAGTGCAAACATATACTTACACAGAGAAGAGATTAACTTGATCGTCTTTTCACTAATTACAGAGATTAGGAAGTGGCTGCCTGAACTATTTTCCAAAGGATAAGCATTACAAATCATTGAATACGGCAGCTCACCAAGAAGATCCTATTGGTTTTGGGGTAAGTAATTTTAAAAGTTCTCTTTTCCTTAGAATGTCCCATGAATTCTCTTCACATGGGAAGTATGGCTTTCTGAAGACACCAGCTAAGAATCCAATCAGTTTTAAGCAGAGACAATCCATTTATAGCAACTGCAATTTCCAGTGACCTAGATCTGTGGATAGCATCTGTCTTTAGATTGATGACAATGTTGAGAAATGGGTTAGACTGACAGATCAGAAGACCTGCACCCTCTATCTGTCTATAAACAATACAACTTCCCAAGCTCTTTGAAAACTATCCTGGAATTCTTGCTCTCAGCACATCTTGTAGCCCATTATAGAGAATCCTACAATGTCTGAACTGGAAGGGACCTTAAATTCACTACTTCACAACAAATATTTTTGTCATATTGTGCAAGCCACTTGGGGTACAAAGCTGAATAATAAGAGTCCTCTTCTTATGGGGCACATAGTCTACTGGAAATCATTTACTCTATTGTTCTAATGTTATAGATGGGGAGGCTGAGGCCCAAAGTGTGGAATAGAGCCACTTGAGGACTCCCAGTGAGATGAGGCAGAGCTGGGGCTAGAGCTCAGGGCTCTTAATGCCGCTGCATTGTGCTTCTGTGTTGGTTACCTATTCTTGTCAGAAGGCCAATTCTGGCAAATTCTCAAACTGTAGGCTGAAATTCTTCTGGACAACTCTATTTTTTAATGGTAATGGTATGAATGAGAATACAATACTTACTAAGTTTTAGCTGCTGTTCTCTCTGTAGACAGTTCTTCCTAGAACTGGGAAACTCATCACTAGCAGAACCCCAGAAAAAATGGGGCTGGTACTCCTGCTGCCCCATTTACTTCCGTCAGCCCTCTAGCATCTCAGGGAATAGCTAGTTTAAGAGGACATATGACCTGGAGTGGCTGAGATTAGCCCTTAGTCAGATTCCTTCAGTTCTAGCAAATGTTTATACTGGCCACATCTTAAGATTTCCCTTTTTTTCTCTCTGTTTCACCAACAACTAATTCAGGACCTGCACAGATTAGGTGCGTAGGAGGTGTTTTCCGAATGAGTGAATTGATGTGCATCTTTTTTTTTTTTTCTTAAAAAGATGAGTGGTAAGGGGATCTTAACCCTTGACTTGGTGTTGTCAGCACCACACTCTCCAAAGTGAGCTAACTGGCCATCCCTATATAGGGATCCGAACCTGTGGCCTTGGTGTTATCAGCACCACACTCTCCCAAGTGAGCCACGGGGTGGCCCTGATGTGCATCTTTGAATGCATACTTCACTCTCTTTCTTTTTAGTTCTAACCTTGCTGGTTGATGGGGACGATGCAAGTAAATCTAAAAAAACATTTAATTATTCTTTTTATTCTAATATATAATCCAATATTAACATGATTTACTTTCTAGGTCAAGTATTTCTCAAATGTTTTTGGCCTCAGGACTCTTTTTTTTTTTTCCTTTTTTTGTCTTTTTTCGTGACCAGTAACGGGATCGCAACCCTCAGTGTTGCACCCGTACCGCGACCGGCAACGGGATCGCAACCCTCGGTGTCGTGCCCGCACCGCACTCAACCAGTGAGTGGACTGGTCTCTACATGGGATCCGAACCCTTGGAGGGAGCACCGCCATGCTCCCAAGCGCCGCACTCTACCGAGTGTGCCACTGGGCCGGCCCAGGACTCCTTTTCACTCTTAAAAATTATTAAGGACTCCAAAGAGCATTTGTTTATGTAGGTTATAGATTGGATTCAAATTCCTGCTCTGCTACCTCCTATTGACATTAAAACTGAGAAATTTAAAAAATATTTATTTATTAACTTAAAATAACAACAATAAACCTATTGTGCATTAACATAAATAACAATTTTATGAAAAATGAATATACTTTCCAAAACAACAAAAAAATTTAGTTGGAAAGGATGGTATTGTTTAATATTTTTGCAAATCTCTTTAATGTTTGTCTTAAACAGAAGACAATTGGATTCTCATATCTGATTCTGCATTCAGTCTATTGCAATAAACTGTTTGGGCTGAAGTATAAAAAGAAAATCTTATGGACTCCCTAAAAGGCTCTCAGGAATCTCCCATGGTCTTCAGATCACACTTTGAGAACTGCTGGTCTGGGTTATTACCTGTATTGTCTCATTTAGTGTCATTTTCTCTAGCATCTCATTCTTATCACAGGATAACCTCATGATCCTGGTACACTGACTTACAGAAGTGCCACAGTGAAATTGTTTAAAAACAGTCCAGGAAGCAAGGAAGGTTATAACCTTTTAGAATAACTAAGGTTCTTCTTTTTCAAGAAGCTTCTTTAGTGTAAATTCTTTTTTATTTTCAATTAAATGCACTTAGTATTTATTTTATTATGGTAGAGTACATATAACATAAAATTTACCATTAGTGACATCTAGTACATAGACAATATTGTGCAATCATCACTACCATTTAGTTGCAGAACATTTTCATCTCTCCAAAAGGAAACTCTGTACCTATTAAGTAGTCTCTCACCATTACCCTCTTCACTCCAGCTCATGGCAACCACTAATCTGCTTTCAGTCTCTATATATTTGCCAACTATGGATATTTCATAATTAGAATTCTATAGATAGAATTCTATAAATAGAATATACAGCATGTAGCCTTTTGTATCTGGCTTCTTTTGCTTAGCATGATATTTTCAAGGTTCATTCATGTTATAGCCATGTATTAGTACTCCTTTCCTTTTTATGGCTGAATAATATTCCATTATTATAATCCATATTTTGGATAGATCATATTTTGTTTATTCATTCATTCATTAATGGACATCTGAGTTGTTTTTACCTCTTGGGTATTGTGAACAGTGTTGCCATGAGCATTTGTGTACAAATACCCAGGTGTAGAATTGCTGGATCATATGGCAATTCTGTGTCTAACTTATTGAGGAACTCCTTAGTATTGTTTAAAATTAGTTTTGTTTTTGTTTACCTGCTAATGTTTTATTGAAAGCTGCAAGGGGTGTCAGAGTGAAGCAGAGAAAGGAGGAAAAGCAAATGCATACAATTATTAGTCTTTTTTTAAAAATGTTTACTTTTAACATAATCATTTTACCATTATTGTGCCTAAGAAATTAATAGTGTGTATTCTTTTTACTAAACAGGGAACACAACTTCTAGCAGCCACAAGGGATGCTGCTACTCAGGTGCCAACTGAAACGAGCTCTTCCTCAGAAGGTTTCATGTAGGTCCTGTTCCATGATGGGGAAACTGCAAAGCAAACTCAAATACAGCACTTATAAATACAGGTACAGCAGTCCTGCCCTGGGGTCCCAAGTTCTATCTTGCCCCACTGAAACTCTCCATTAATGAAAGAAGGCCCCTGGTCTGTTTTGATGACCTTCTCTGAACAGTTTGGTCTGTTTTCTTTTGAATAAGAAACAGCTTATTAGCTAGTATCTGCTTCCACACATAGAGAGGCCCTATATCTTTGGGTTTATTCTCTAGTGTGAGTAAAGACTCCTGGCTTCTTGGCTTCAGGATTTTCCTTTATCAGATTCCAATGATTTCTGCATTCTGAGCCTTTTCAGAGTAAATAATACCATTTCTGGCCATGTCGGTGGGCGTCCTTTCTCTACTCCTTTCCATCTTTCTCCTCAGCCTGGCTACCATCCTCTCTTTAGCAGGCCCAATGGAATCATAGAAGAGAGAATTCCAACTAACGCTTTTCAAGAGTATAGCCCAGCTCATGTGGATACCGTCTCTGTGGTTGCTGCTTTGAACTCAGACCTTTGTGTCTCCGGAGGAAAAGATAAGGTGGGGTTTGCAGTTTTTCCCAGGAAACCAACTTATTACAGGGAAGGGAAGATATTTTGAAAGGAAGTCTAGGTTTTGCATTTCTAGCAGCAGGTTTGATTAGTATAAAAATATAGGCTTTAGAATTAGAAAGACTGGGTTTAAATCCCTGCTCTGCCACTTGCTGTTACTTTGCACAAGTCTTTAAATTTTTTGAGCTTCAGTCTCCTTAGCCGTTAAGTGGGGATAATGCCAACCTCACAGGACAGCTGTGAGGATAAATGAGCAAACATAGGAAAGATCTTTAGCACTATGCCAGACCACCCATGTGCTTTTTATAAATGGCAAGTATTATTATTCCAGCCAATCCATTTTTACACCTACATGCAGACACGGGAGTTATTTGTCAACAAAAGGAAATTTCTAGTCTCTTCTTTAATGCCTCTTTTGCCAAAATCTTTACACTGGTGTGCACTATAATTTCTCCCTTCTTCTTTTTTTTTTTTTAAATTTAATTTTATTTTATCAATATACAATGTAGTTGATTTTTGTGTCCCTTTACCAAATTCCCCCTCCCCCCTCCCTCTCCCCCCTCCATCAACATCATATCTGTTCTCTTGTCTTAACAAGTTCAAGGAATTGTGATTGTTGTCTTCTTCCCCACCCACTCCATTTGTTTGTGTATTTATTTATTTATTTTTAGCTTCCACAAATAAGTGAGAACATGTGGTATTTCTCTTTCTGTGCCTAACTTATTTCACGATGATTTCTCCCTTCTATGTTTTTGTCCTTCCTCCCATTGTCACTTTGAATCCAATTGCTTTCTCTTTTTCATATTTGTATCTATCATGGCACTTACAGCTAGGATATTTGTAACAAAAACACCCATTATTTTGCAGTGAATAATACTAATAATACCTCTCATTTCCAACAGCCTTTTAGAATCTTCAAATTCCACTTGCATATTGTATTTCACTAGTTCTAAGATGTGCATGTTTTCACATTTTAACACCTCAGAAATCAGTATACATCTAAGTATCATAGTTTAATTGGCAGCATTTTGTTTTAAAATCTATACCATCTCAGATGTAAGAAATTTTATTTATGTGAGCCTTACTCATACCTGTGAAGGGTGCATAGAGCAATGATTATCCCCTCTGTTTTGCAGATTAGGAAACTGGTGTTTAACTAGGCCAAGTGCAACAAGGGCTGGGTCCGCTATAATACATGTTCCTTACTCTAGCAATAAACTGTGGAGACTCAGCCAGAAAACACCTTTAAAATCCTGTTTAGGCACTTAAAGCTGGAGTTTGACATTCTGATTTCAGATGCTGTCTTTTTATTAGTGAGTGATGATGGTTTGCTAATAATCAATAGGTAATAATTTTTTGTAATCCCATCAAGTGGCTCTATGTTTCTGCTCTCTTGTGACTGTGTTAATGTTTAACTGTTGTACCTTAAAGCTGAAATCAGTAACTATGCATACTGTAACCAAGATATTGGGCTTACAGAGTTGTTTGTTGTATAAAGAAAATTGTAAATGTTGTTGCAAACTAACGAGTTACACCATTTTAAAATTTCTTTCCTCCCCCTTTTTCTTTGCCCACAAATGGTATTATAATGCTTGCTTAGTCAAAGAAGAGAGACTAAACAAGGGTAAAAATTTTAACAGTACAGAATTTGCCATCATTTCATTGCCTTGATTCTGTTTGTGTCCTAAGATGCAAAAGAAGTCAGTGGCTTTTAACTGTTTACAAATAGAATATGATTGTAAACTGTACAGTGTGGTTGTGTTTGAATTATGAAATTTCTTCAGATATAATAAACCATGACTTTTTGGCTGCTTAAGAAAAAAAAGAAAATCTTGTTTAGGGAGAAAAATGCTTATAATAAATTATTAAAGTATACACCTGGGAAAAGGGTGGAAAGAAAAATTTTTTCTTTAAACCAGTAAGGGTATCGTAACCCTTGGCTTGGTGTTGTCAGCACCGTGCTCAGCCAGTGAATGCACTGGCCATCCCTATATAGGATCTGAACCCGCGGCCTCGGCGCTACCAGTGCTGCACTCTCCCGAGTGAGCCACGGGGCCAGCCCGGAAAGAAAATTTTAATAACGATTTTCTTTAGCAGATGGGATATGGGTGAGGTTTTTTTTTTTTTTTAACTTTAAGTGGTATTTGTTTCACAATAGTGTGAATATAATTAATAGTACTGAACTAACTGTAAACTTAACCGTGGTTACAATAGTAAAAGAAAAAAAAAAAAAAACTAAAAAAAACCGTGTAATACAATAGGTGGAAAAATCTAATCCCATGTAGAAATCTCCTTTATCATCTATAGCCAGAACCTGAAGCTGAATCAGTTCTCCTTGGGGAGTATTATTCCAAACCCATCAGTAAGGTTTAGAGGAGTGGTGCAGTGTCTTAGGGAGAGACAGAGGGATGATCAAGAGGAAAGAAAAGAAACTCAAAGCAAGGGAACATGAGGAGGAGCACAACAGTAAAACCCTAATGCTTGAAGTAAGTTCCTTGACAGAGAGGAAGTTAGTTACGAGGGGGAAATTCAGGTGGGGAATGAAGTAAAGGTTAGTTTCAGTTAAACAAAAATTGAGCGATTAAAATATTTTAATGCTTCTCTGCAGACAGTTGTGGCCTATAATTGGAAAACTGGAAGTGTGGTGAAAAGGTTCAAAGGACATGAACATGAAATTACCAAGGTAATTGTCAAATGATTATTATTATGAAGGGAATTTGGAACTGAATAACAGAATGTCTAATTGCTCTAGATATTAACAGTGATTGAATGTTCAGTCTTAAGGAAAAATGCAAAGGCTTCATTTGATGCTGTGAAGCCCTACTCTGGGAAAAGCAGACCAAACTATTCACTTAGCTGTTGTTACAGGTATAATGGACACAATTTCTTTTGTTATTAAGCCCTTAATACCTCAGGTAGTAGATAGAGAACAGCTGAGAACAACTCTCCCTGACCTAACTTAACAAGGACATAAGGCTTATGGTGTTTACTACAGCTAGTAATGACAAAATCCCTACGTTCAGCAACCTTCTAGTCTAGTTGAGGAAATTTTTTAAAAGGCAACAAAAGTTAAATAAAAGTTAGTTTGTTAAATAGCATTACAGAGTAGAGTGAGCTTCCAACAAAAATGATAGAGAATGCCAATTTATATAATTCCCCTCTCTGATGGCCACCTAAATGAACCAAAAATTAAGATGCACACTTCTTCTATAATAAAACTAAACATCAGCCCAACCCCATATCCACGCTCTAACATACTTGTTCCCAGATCTTTGGCAGAGTGCAGATTTCACTTTAAAAGAGCTGGTCCTGAATGGCCCTATCAATAGCCCTTTATTTAGAAAGATGGGACTAAAGACATAGGTTGGTTACCAGTAAAATATGACAATGTAACAAAATTGAGGCTGCTTCTAGCTCACTTCTGCTTCTCTTGGTCATCATAAACAGCTAAAGGATATATTTAACTGTCAAAATTCAGCCCTACAACTAAAGTTATAGTAGACCTTGGGCTAAAAGTAATGAAAGTGAACAATTTACCGTGTGTGTGTGTGTGTGTGTGTGTGTCTGTGTGTGTTTGCAATATTTGGGCATGTATTTGGCCTTACTGGACTTGTCCCCAAAGATTGGACTTGCCCCCACCAAAGATGGGACTTGCCCCCATTCAAAGATGAAAAGATTAATAAGCAAAAAGGATTCAAAGTGAGACCTATATTCCTAGATACAGTTTTTTAAAAAAGGATACACACATAACAAGCTAATACCAGATGAAAATGTGCTTTGAAGGAAGAATAACTCAGGAAACAGAAAAAAAATCTGATTAGTACTTTTTATGCTCTATGAATTAAGAGAACATGTACTCCATGAAACAAAAAGTCAAAAAAGTAAGACGACAGAAGAATTATCTGGGAGAGAAAAGATGATTTGAGAAAAAATACAATTAAAAAGTAGAAATTCCATTATAAACAGCAAGATGTAAAATTACTACTTCTGTGAGTAGAAACAGTAACCTGGAGGCAGGCTAATCATATGGAATGTAGTTGAAAATAATAAAATAAACAATTGGCAAGAAGATGACAGATGTGGAAAACAGGCAGCGGAGATTGAATGTGCTCCATAAATTGGTGTTCCTAAAAAAGAACAGAACAAATGAAGCAAAAAAAATTTAAAGAGAATATAGAAAAAAAACTACTCAAATAAAGGAAAACTTTAAAAATTTGAAACATAAAATAACTCAAAGGCTAACTGGATGCCAGGAAAATTAAGTAATCAATACTAAAACATATCCAAGTGAAGTTACTAAACTTCAAGAATAAAGAGTGAGTTCTATAAGATCCTAGCAGAAGGAGGACACCACAAGGTGAAAGAAAAATTAGTTTGGCTTCAAATTTCTTCTCAGCAGCACTAGCTTCCATAGGACAGTGGAGCAATGTCTACAAAATGGCAAGAGAAAGAATGTGACTCAAGAATCCTTTACACAGCTAGAATGTCATTCGTTTGCAAAGGTAATGGAAAGATATTCTTAAGTTTGTAAAATCTCATATGGAAAACATTCCTCAATAATATAATTGAAGGTTTATGATTAAAGAATGTTAATGAATGATGAATGTTAAAGCCAATGAATCTGAAAGAAGTTTCAAACAGAGTCAATGGTATGAGCCTTGAATCCAGTTAAACAGAATTATGTCCAAAAAATGGTCAAAACTAGGGCTATGAAATGAAGTGTAATTGTTATAATTCTTTTAAAATATATATAAATGCAAAAATATTAATAATTTGATAATAGACTGAGACAGAAATCCAAGCGAGTACCTACAAAAGTGGGGAAAAGATAGAACAAATATAATTGTTCTTTTTTTTTTTTTTTCCTTTTTGTTTTTTTTCGTGTCCGGCAACGGATCGCAACCCTCAGTGTCGCGCCCGTACCGGACCAGGACCGGCAACGGGATCGCAACCCTCGGTGCTGCTCCCGCACCTCGCTCAGCCAGTGAGCGGCTGGTCCGTATGTGGGATCCGAACCCTCGGCAGGAGCGCCGCCACGCTTCCCAAGCGGCGCACTGTAGCAGTGCGCCCGGGCCGGCCCAAATATAATTGTTCTAATTTAAAAATTTTTTTTTCCATAGGAGATAGTCTGTAGATACACAGTTTTCTTTCTGAAGTTGATAAATTGAGAATAGGGGTTTAAGGATATTAATATGTATATAAAATTATCAATTAGAAGAACTTTGGTTGTATTTCTTTTTAAATTAAAAAATATAAAGGTAAGAAAGAAAGAAATCTAAAAACAAATATATAAGTTTATAGAAGAAAATGAAAACAGAAATAGATTTTAAAGAGATATATCTAATGCAAAGCAGCTTAAAGATTGGAAGTAAAACAGTGAGCAAAGATAAAACAGATATTTGTGCACCCATGTTGATAGCATTGTTTACAGTAGCCAAAAGATGGAAACAACCCAAATGTCCATTGACAGATGCATGGATAAACAAAATGTGGTAATATACATACAATGCAATATTACTGACCCTTAAAAAGGAATGAAATTCTTTTTTTTTTTTAAAAGATGACCGGTAAGGGGATCTTAACCCTTGACTTGGTATTGTCAGCATCACGCTCACCCAGTGAGCAAACCAGCCATCCCTATATGGAATCCGAACCCGTGGCCTTGGTGTTATCAGCACCGCACTCTCCCGAGTGAGCCACAGGCCGGCCCCAAAAAGGAATGAAATTCTAATACATGTTACAATATGGATGAACCTTGAAAACATGGGAGGTGAAAGGAGCCAGACACAAAAGACTGCTATTGTATGATTCCAATTATATGAGGTAACTAGTCAAATTCAGAGAGACATAAAATAGTGGTTACCAGGGGCTGTAGGGAGAGGAAAATGGAGAGTTGTTATTTAATGGGTATAGAGTTTCAGTTTGGAATGATGAAAAAATTCTGGAGATGAGTAGTGGTGCTGGTTGCACAGCAGTGTGAATGTACTTGATGCACTGAACTGTGCACTTAAACATGGTTGAAATGGTAAATTTGATGTATATCTTACCACAAGTCAAAAGTAAATAAAAAATAAAAATAGAAAACACCATGAAAGATATCAGAACAGGAAAAAAGAGGTGAGGAAACATATATCAGGCAAATACCTGATCTACAAAAAGGAAGGAGTTGTAAGAATAATTCAAACAAAGTTTGATATCCAGAAGCCCTAATAACAGTGCACATAGTTAAACACAGTTCAAGGTTGGTGTTGTGGCTCCAACACAGTTAAACACACAGTTCAAGGTTGGTGTTGTGGCTCCACTGAGCCAGGCTCCTATTTTTGGGGGGTGGGTGGGAGGTGGGGGTGGTGGCTGGCCAGGACAGGGATCCAAACCATTAACCTCAGTGTTTATCAGCACCACGCTCTACTGAGTGAGCTAACAGACCAGCCCTCTGTCTTCCTTGTCTGCCGTCACTAGAGCCTAGCTTCTTTTTCAAGTTTACCTCCTACTCACAAGATGGCTGCTGCAGCTCCAGTCATCATATATGATCTCAAGGAAGCAGGAAGGAAGAAAGGGCAAGAGCAAAAGGTTGTTTTTGTCAACCCCTTATAAAGAGTTTCTCGAAGTCCCACTTCCACTTACATCTCATTGGCTACTCCTGGCTTCAAGGGGGCTGGAAAAATCTGAATTTATAGCTGAGTGCATTGCCATACCAAACAACCTAGAGATTTTATTGTTAAGTAAAACTGGGAAAATTGATGATGGGTGCACTACTTGCAGTTTGCTACAGTATGGATACAAAAATCCTAAATGAAGTATTAGCAAATAGAAGCTAACATTTTGCTAAAAGAATAGCGTAGCATGACTAACTGAGCTTTGTTCTAGGAATGCAGAAATGGTTTAACATTAGGAAGTTAGTAAATATGATTCTCTATATTAATTGGTCAAAGGGAGAAACACATGATCATCTTAGTAGATCAGAAGATCCAGCACCCATTCCTCTAGAATCGCTTGATAAAGTAGAAATAAATGAATCTTTATGTGATTGAAAATAAATATAAAAAAGAATAATATCTCTTTAAAAACAAAATACAATGTGTGATATTACAACATAAAATGACATAATATATGGTGGTTATATGATTAATGAGAATGTACAGTACGTGAGAGTGCTTTATACACTATACCCATTTTGAGTGTGGTGATGATAAAGTGCTAAAGAGACCACACAAAAAACAAAGTTCTATAGGAGATCCAAGAGGGAGAGACCCCCATGGAGGTGAGATGATCTGAGGAGGTTTAATGGAGGAGGTGAGATCTTGAACCTGACCTTGAAGGACAGGAGGAAATCTGCTACATAAAGAGGAAAGGGTAGCACAATGAGAAAGGTGGAAATTCAAACTGGCTTTCCATTCTTAGATTTCAAATTAGGTATTACTCTTTTCAAATTGTGTACGGGGAGGGAGTTAGGCAAACCTATCTTTCCCCCACTTTAAAGTCCAATCCAGCAAGCACGCCAGAGCTATTTCTGGTTTTTGTTGGTTTTTTTTCCCCTCCCTGAGCAGGTGGCTTGTATTCCCGAATCGAACCACTTCTTCAGCGCCTCTCGTGACAGGATGGTCATGATGTGGGACTTGCATGGTTCTTCACAACCAAGGCAACAGCTGTCTGGCCATGCCATGGTGGTCACTGGATTGGCTGTGAGTTCAGGTAAAGTAAAGCACATCTCTCCCCAACACTTTTGTACTTTCTGAAAAGCCCTGGTCAAGCCCGTCTCATGGGCTGTCTTCTTGCCATTGTTTCCAAAGACTCATCACAGCTGTGCACTGGCTCTCGGGACAACACCCTGCTGCTGTGGGATGTGGTGACGGGACAGTGTGTGGAGAAGGCGTCTTTCTCCAGGAACCTGGTACGAACTCAAATGTGGTGTAGAACAGGGCAGTGGAAGGGAGCAAAAGGCCCGGGAGAGAGATCAGGAGACCACAACCAGGCATTAGAAACTTGGGTCCCAACTGCTGCGCCCCCTCAACTTCCTGTGAGACCGTGGCCTCTCAGTGTTATTTAATTAAATGATCTCTTGAGTCTTTTGCTCCAGAGAATGATTCCACCAGATTATACTGGAACTTACCATGTTGTTCTGATTTATTCCTTCAGAATATAGTGATTCCATTTCTTCTGGGCCAGACACTGCCAGGAATGGGATTAGTGACCTAGGACACAGTTCCTGCCTTCCAGGAGCTCACAGCTTATGCTTATTGTATGTTCTCTATATGTAACATTATGCAGAGAAATAAGCATTACCTTTTGCTTTCTGTATAATTTGCTCTGTTTTTGAAGACCAGTCATTTTCTGGTAGCAGACTGGTAGATAAACTGTACAACTTTTGGGGTCAGTCAGACCTGAGTTCAAATTATGGATCTATCATTTATTAGCTGTTACCCCAAGAAAGTTACGTAAGCTCTTAGAGTCTCATTGTCTTCATTTATAAAATGAGGAGAATTATATCACCTGATAAGGTTCTTCAGTGGATAAAATGAGATAATATATGTGAAACTCCTGTCATGTGCCCGACACATGGTAGACGTTCCTTTAGTCGTTATCAAATTTCAGTCCTAGTCATTGTGTTAGTCCGTTTCTGTTGCTTATAACCTAAATACCTAGAACTGGATAATTTATAAGGAAATAATATTTATTGCTTACAGTTTTGGAGGCTGGGAAATCCAAAGTCCAGGGAACACATCTGGTGAGGGTCTTCCTTGGTGGTGGCTTCAGTGACACAGGGTACCACATTGTGAGATGGCAGAAACAGAGAGAGAAACTCTCATGTGCTCTCTTTTTAAAGCCCTCAGGATCACGCTCACCACCACCATTATTAATCCATTCACTAGCCATGGTCCTCTAAATCTAACCACCTCTTCAAGGCCCCACCTTTCAATTACCATAATAGGATTTCCCACCCTTAACAGTTACAGTGGATATTAAGCTTCAGTGAGTTTGGGGGGACAGTCAATCTACAGCAGTCATCTTTTCTAATTTCGAAGACAACTGTCAGTGACAAGATGTGCTTGCCTCATGCCCTCCATATTTGTGTAGGTTGCTGGAAGAAAAGAAAATCCTGTAATCTTTGCACACTGTCCCATGCCTGTCCAGCAGGGGGCTGCAGGGATAAAGAGAAGCACAAATATTCTTCTTGAACCCCATGAGGTGGTGTTAGACTAGAGTTTCAGTGGTCCCACCATAGAACAGGGGCTGCTCTCCTAGCTGCCACCCAGCCAGCAGTTCTCTACCACACGGCTGGGGTTTCAGGCACCCTGGGGTACCTGCATACATTTTGGCACTCATAACTGGCCCAGCTGCTCCCATTGCTGCTGCTAACTTAGGAGATACAGGTAGAGCATGACTGATAGGTAGCTGCAAAACACAAAAGCCCTCTAAGTCAAATGTACCAGTTCAGAATCCTTAAGAAAAGGTACAGCAATGCTGTGTAGCACTGTTTACAGGAATTACAGCAGAGGAGTGACTTGGTATGGAGAAGTATTGAAAATTTTGCTTTTTCCAGGTCACTCATCTGTGCTGGGTCCCCAGAGAACCATATATACTACAGACTTCTGAAGATAAAACCATCAGGTGGGCTTACTGAGCTGCAGTGAAGTTGTTTCTGGTGAAGGTTTGTGGCTCCCATGCTTACATGACTCCACCTCTGCTCTGCTTCTCCCCATTGCTGTGCCCTTCCCAGAGCCCCCCACCCCTCTGCCCCTTGCTGGTGCTGGGGCCTCTCTGATCTGGCCCCATGGATCATCTGGATAGAGGTTGGATGCCAGGGGATCAGGCCATGGAAAAGCCCCTGTTGTGGATGGTTTCAAAGCAGCCAGTGCAGCCAGCTCCCACTGTGGGAATGTGTTCAGATTAACATCAGGATCGGTCACTTGCTCGTGCCATGATGTCAGGCTGCCTGGCTCTACTTGCTACCGCTGCATGGCTCCTGGTGTTCTCAATCACTCAGCCCTCAGCTGAAGCCCTCCCTGGGGCATCAGCGTGGGAGTCAGCATCAGGGAGTCAAATGAAGTCAGTAGTTCTTAGACTGAAGAGCATGACTAGAAACTGGCTCTCAGAAGAAATTCTACTTAGGAAGTGGCAGGAATGAGATGAAGATGTACAAATGAGAAAGAGGCAAAACAAAACACTCCCCTGTGTACCCCAAGGCCAAGGTTGGCCAAGGCCTGTAAATCTTTTGTATCTGATTCTGGAATGATGACTGCTCTTCTATGTATAATAAGTATCTATTTTAAATTTTGAGTCACAGGCACAGAAATATCCTCTTGTCTGTTTAAAGCAGTGTCCCAAAGTACCAAATTAACAAATTAACTTGTACAATTAAGATGCTTGATCTACGTTCCTATTAACTGATCTCAAAATAGAAAGAACTCAGATGTCATTCAATTTGGTTACTTCCTGCCAGCTTTAGAGCCTCAAAGATTGATCTGGTTCATGCTGCTGTTTTTAGGTAAATCATGACATTCCATCCTGACTGGCCTAAGCAGCCTTAAAGAGCAAGAATTTTATGTTAGTGGGTTATTATAGGTATATTTCAGACACATTTACTACAAACTCATTTTCTGCTTTAATTTCTTTTAGATTATGGGACAGCCGGGGGCTGCAGGTAGCTCATATGTTTCCTGCAAAGCAGCATATTCAGACCTACTGCGAAGTCAGCGCAGATGGACTCAAATGTATCTCTTGCAGCAGTGGCTTTGGAGGGGAAGGCTGTGAAGCCACGGTAAGAGACTGTGTGGGGTCCAGGTATCTGGTTGCTGATGAACAAATTACTTACTCTAGCCTCATGCCTGTAGCTGGGCTGCACAGGCAGGCTCTGCCAATGACTCAGGCCTATTTCAAGTGCATACTGTGAGTGATCCTTTGCATTCCAGATGTTTCTTTTAAGAAACATTCATTGACCTAGGTCACTCTGAATTGGTAGGAGAAAAGTAGAAGAGAGTCAAGATAGGGAAGAGCTAAATGCAGAACTTAGAAAGGAGAGGCACTGTTTGAAGAACAAATGTATTCCCATTGTATATGTGGCCACAGTAAAAGGAGTTCAAGCTCTTTAGGAAATTTGGAGCTCCAGTGTTGATCCAGGGCCCACCTCATCCCTTACCCATATACCTTCCTTACTATCTTCCTTTCAGGATAGATTGCCTAGGCTCTTCCAAAGTACCTTAGATTCATAATTGTAGAATATCAGTTAAAGGGTTATCTAGTATCCAAATAGAACAATTAAAGCTCCCATTTAATCAAACATTTATTAAGTGCCAGGCACTGGGCTGAGCATGTTACATACACTATTTCATTTAATCCTTTTTTTAATTTATTTTATTTATTTTTATTTTCGAGACCGGCTGCACCGTGCTCAGCCAGTAAGTGCACCGGCCATCCCTATATAGGATCCAAACCTGCACGCTCCCAGCGCCGCACTCTCCCAAGTGCGCCACGGGCTCGGCCCTCATTTAATCCTTAACACAGCCCCATGAGTCAGGTACTATTATAATTCCTGTTTTACAGATGAGGAAATAGAGGCATGGTAAGCTGAAATCTCTTATAGAAGAACACACCCCTAGTAAGTGGTAGATCGAGGTGTTGCAGGCTTTGGATGTAGCATCTCTTCTCCAAGCTAAGCATTTCGAGCTCCTACAGCTATTCACTGGATGACACAGTGTCTGGTGACTTCATTATTTTTTTAGACACAATTCAGTTTGCTCTCCTTCCTCAACATTATTCTCCAGGTGTGGTCTGATCTGTATCAATGAGTGGGGCTGGTGGGACTGCCACTTCCTTTGATATGGACACTAAACTTCATGTATCAAGGTTCAGCATCTAGGCATTTTTGTTTTTGTTTTTTTGGTGGCTGGCCAATACAGGGATCCAAACCCATGACCTTGGTGTTACAAGGTGGCGCTCTAACCAGCTGAACTAACCAGCCAGCCCTCAGCCTCTAGGCATTAAATCAGAATGTCTGCACCTATATGTACTTATGAGAAGGTGCTCCTAACTGTGGGGTCCCTACAGGACCCACAGATGCCAAGAAGCTGATATAAGGCAGCTCTTGGTTGTCATGGAAAGCAAACAACCTCATTCTATTTCATCATGCTGTAACACTGGGAGCTTTTACTTTCCCAGCCACGAAGAAGGCAACAACCCTTCTGGCATATCCTTAACCAGGGTTGTTTGGGACATAGCTAATGCTTAAAAAAATCCCTGCATGGATGGGTGGTTGGGTGAGTGGTGCGGATGGAAAGGATCAAGATGGGGTGGCTACATGAGTAGGTAAATGGAGGGAAAATGTGGATCATGGGAGAGTGAGGAGACGGATATGAATGAATGAAGCATGTACAAAGCTAGACAAATATGTATGTATGAGCTGGTCCATGTTGCTACTTTGCAGTTGTGGGACCTGAGGCAGACGAGGAACAGAATATGTGAGTATAAGGGGCATTTCCAGACTGTTGCATCCTGTGTCTTTCTACCAAGAGCACTGGCTTTGATGCCTGTAATTGCTACCTCATCACATGATTGCAAGGTGAAGATTTGGAACCAAGATACTGGAGGTAAGGAGCCTGCTGTTGGTGTTTCCCAGAAGATACATGAGGTCTAAAGGCTTCCTTAAAACTTTTTCTTTCCATTGCTCAGAACATACAAAGCCACCATTTCCTACCACTGTCCAGTCCCCTAATGGTTAAGAGGTGACACCAAGATGGCAGAGTCTGTTCAACCTGTGACTAGAATCCATCACCATGTATCCCCTGGTACCATGTTGTGTAGATTCATTCCTGAGAGCTCAAATATTTTTGGCTCTTTCTTTCTTCCTGAAGTTTCTCATGAGGTTTTAACTTGTGACACTCAAAATGTCTAGAAAAGGAAGCAAAAATTGCCACTTTTGAATTCCTTTTTCAAGGAGTGAGAGCCTCAGCTCTTGGTGGGGGGATGGGAGGGAGTAAGGATGATCTCAGAAAGACTGCCCTGTTGTGACACTCTACCTGATGTTTAAGTAAGGTCATGACACTTCAAAACACCAGAGAAAAAAGACGTCTTAAGGAACACCACTCCCCAGAGTCCTCAGTGTGCTGGAGCCAGCTCCTAGTGGCTCATTTTTTTTTTTCCTTTTTTTGTCTTTTTTCATGTCCGGCAATGGACCGCAACCCTCAGTGTCGCGCCCGTACTGGACCGGGACCGGCAACGGGATCACAACCCTCGGTGCTGCGCCCGCCCCTCGCTCAGCCAGTGAGCGGGAACCGGTCTGTATGTGGGATCCGAACCCTCGGCGGGAGCGCTGCCGCGCTCCCAAGCGGCGCACTGTAGCAGTGCGCCACCGGGCCGGCCCCCTAGTGGCTCATTTTAAATGTTTAGGAATTTTGCCAGCTGGTTTTTATTTATTCATTTTTTTTGCAGCTGGCTAGTATAGGGATCCAAACCATTGACTTTGGTGTTATAACACTGTGCTCTAACTAACTGAGCTAAGTGGCCAACCCCTTTAAACAACTGAGCTAACTGGCCAGCCACGAGCTGTTTTTTTTTCTTTGGTCCTTTTTTTTGAGACCGGCCGCACCGTGCTCAGCCAGTGAGCACTGTGAACGCACCGGTCATCCCTATATAGGATCCGAACCCATGGCGGGAGCGCTGCTGCGCTCCCAGCGCCGCACTCTCCCGAGTGCGCCACGGGCTCGGCCCCAGGAGCTGTTTTTTAAACCTTTGGTAGCTTGAAATCTGGTCATGGTGGGGAGTGCACCACAAAAACAGGCAAGTGCTATGAATAAGTATTGTTGTATATTTTCTTCTAGTAAGCTGGTTTACCAGCACCCCACTGCCTCTATACTATTGTATCCCAGACACAGGGTTCTGCCAGAGACAGGAATAACATTAATTTAGAACACTTCAAACCAAATCCCTCCTATCAATCCTCCAGAAACTCAGCTCACCCTCAGGGGAAGATAGGGTATCCCCCTCAGAGAAAACAGATGGACCATGTCTGGTGGCACTCTGCAAACAGCTGTGGCCACAAGCCAAACTTCCATAGTAAGGCCAGTCCTGCTGTACTCTTACCTGGAGTTGGCTTCTCCAGCTGCCCAGGGGTAACAGTTGCAGGAGATAGGGGGTAGCAGATGTTTTAGATTTAATGATCATAAACGTGGGACCAGGGAGAACAAGGTCTGAAAGTGCTGACCTGACTAGGTGGCACAAATGCCCTGGCCACTGCATATGCACCTGACGTTCTCAGAAGAGCAGCTTCCAAGATGCAGACAGAGGAAGACTGGGGCAGCTGGAAACCCCTGGAGACTGCCCTTCAGGTTCTCTCATTATCCTTTATCTTGAAGGAAGCAAGACCCCAGGAAGCCAGCAGCTGACGATCAGTATTCTTATCTGTTTTTCCCTGCCTTGGCCCCTGCTTTGTTACCTGGACAGGTAACTGAGGGAGCTTTTTAACGTGTCCTTACCAGGTGAGGCCCCAATTGTCTAAACATACTCCTTGGTGGTATACGTCCTGTTTGGCTCACATGCCACTGTCTACATTTGAAGTCTTGGGGTTGACCCAAGTTCTGACTTCTCTGCTGTGTGCTTTCTTCTGGTGCCAGCAGGGCTCTCTTACATGGGTTAGACACACAGCACATGCTTTATTTCTTTAGATTTCTCACAAAGACATCGCATTTCATGATATTGCACTCTTGTCTTAATCTGCTGATTCCCCCTTCCTCCCTTAGCTTGCCTTTTCACCTTATCTCTGGATGGATCAGGACCTTTGACTTCCCTGGCTGTTGGCGACACCATCTCCTTATTGTGTGCAAGTTTCAGGAGAGGAATTCACTTACTCAGACTGGACCACAGCCAAGGGCTGGAACTGCAGGAAGTGGCAGCATTCTGAGGCCAAGAGACATTCACTGGACAATATCAAACCATGGTCTCTCCTTTCTCAGTGTGGCTGTGTGTCTTTCCACGTTATCTTGGAGGGAGTAGAACATAGGGTGGGTATTCTTTGCTTAGGTTCGCTTAGAAGGTATATCAGTGTTAGAAGTTAATTTTAGTCCGATGGCTCAAAATCAGGTAAAGAGTTTAGAAACATGGACTAAACATAAGGTTCTTAATCTAAGTTAAATCCAAATGCAATTTTTTGGTGAGATTTTTGGGACTAGTCTTCAAAAAAAGTTATTGCTCAAAATGATAACCTACAGGTGTACAAGTGGTAAGTCTCTGTGAGAGTCAGAACATGGGGCTTGAGTCTATTTAACTGACCTTTCCTATGTCTCCACAAAAGAAAAAAAGGCAGTGGGTAGAGAAACTCTGTTTTGGTTGCCTCAGAAATAATAGAGATAGGAAAAAATAGTGGCTTCTACTCAAAGTAGTGGGAGTGGTAAAGCCTGCCTGCTCTTGGTACCTCCCTAGACCAGTGCAGAGGTTGCATGAAAATGAGACCTGACATGGCTTGAAGAGGCTGATGACTGCAAGGGCATTGCCCGGAATTATAGGAGTTGTCAAACCTGTTCTATGGAGAAGAAAACAGGGAGGTTCACAGATTAAGGCTGAAAAAATTTCATATGCAATTGTAACATTTTTTTTTTTTTAAAGATGACCAGTAAGGGGATCTCAACCCTTGGCTTGGTGTTGTGAGTACCACGCTCAGCCAGTGAGCGAACCGGCCATCCCTATGTAGGATCCAAACCCATGGCCTTGGTGTTATCAGCACTGCACTCTCGTGAGTGAGCCACGGACTGGCCCGCAATGTAACTTTTTTATTTAGTTTTTAATAAATTCTTTCTTGGGAATAGCCAGAGTGAGGCAAAGAGAATCTCTGAAACAAGAATAGAACACAGAGAAAAAAGTGGAGGGATAGAGTCCACTGTGTCCCAGCCACTGAGTTCCCTTCGGGGAGGAGGGGCAGGGTGCTCAGGTCCACCTGTGTGGCCCTCAGGAGTCAGTCCCCAGCCTGATGCTCACAAGCCCAGTTTCCTAGAGAAAATGGAGTCCCCCCTGCTTTCAGACAAGCCTACACATAAGGCAACTGAGGCCTGGAGATTCCCTTTCTGACAAGACCCAGCCAAAGAAAGATTTTGCATTTGTCTTCTCTGGGCTCTGGCTGTCCCTAATATCAATGGCTGAGAGCCATCTTCTGTGTCTCCCTCCTACTCTTTAGGTCCAGCTCTTCCCCCACACCATCTCTAGTGACGGGATGAGAATCCGTTTCTAGTCTAGTGCAGAGTCAGACCTGTGTTTAAATCTCCACTTCTCCACTTAGCAGGCTGATCTTGGGCAGGTTATAAAATCTCAGTTTCCTCACTTACGATGCTCACAATCATACCTTCCTCACAGGGTGGTTCTGAGGATGGGACATAATTACATTAAACTCAAGCAAGGCAGTAGATGCTGGCAAATGGTAGCCATAGTTATTTTTATTTACTGTCTTTGTCCAGATGAAATGCTCTCTCCCACACTAAATGTTAACCATTCCTTCATCCGTTCTTCTTACATCTTATTTCTAACCCTTTAGTCATTGTTCAGCTTTCCTTTAATTCCTTAAGTTACGGATCTTTGAGCTCCGGAAGGACAAAGGGGTGGTGGTGCAAGAGGAAACTGCTTCATCGAGCACCTGCGGAGGGCTAAATACATTTATCCTAACTACAATTCTTGTTATTCCCATTTCACAGATGAGGAAGCTGAGGCCCAGAGACATGCAGAACTTTGCCCAAAGTTACACACATAGGTAGGGAAGAGCTGAGATTTGAACCTGGGTCTGCCTGACTCCAAGTTGGAACACTTTCCTTTGCATCCTTTTGCCTTTGCGTGATGTCATAAAGCTTTGCTGTTTGTTTAAGAAATGCATAGACCATGGGTTGTTTGTGTATTTTTAAGACCAGTTATTAACTTTTTGGCTCCAAGGAGATACCCTTGACCAGGTGCCTTGGGGCAGTAGACAGGTATCTCAGGGAAAATCCTAGCTGGATTATTATGCTGCAGCTGATACTCCCCTAGAAGGAAGCCAGGTAGCAAATCAGAAAATCCAAGGGAGTAGGTTGGGAGGGGGCCCTGGGGAAGGGGGACAGGCTGCTGTAAGAGGGAAAGTACACATGAGAAAATAGTAAGCCTCTGATGAGTTAGCAGGTTTCTATTACCAATAAAGTTGTTTCCCTAAACTTAATATATGTGCTTGATGTCAAAATTCCCTATCTGTGTATTTTAAGTAGAAAATAGATTAATAAATACTAATGCTTGTAGGGGATTTTTTTTTTGGTCTGATATGCCCTAATCACATACTCTTAGCATCTAAGATACAGGCTGCTAAAATTCATTCATTCATTCAACATTCATTGAATGGTTCTTTTAGAGGCTGCCCCTCTAAATCATATAAAGGAATTTTCAAAGACAGTTGACATTTTTCCAGGAAAGTATAAAAGCCCTTGGAATTTAGTCAATTATATATTTAAATTTTAAATAAATTTATATATTTAATTACATATTTATCATTTAAGTATGTTGTTATATTAGTGCATTTCTGTTGCTTATAAACATACCTGAAAACTGGGTCATTTATAAAGAGATAAAATTTATTTCTTAAGGTTTTGGAGGCTGGTAAATCCGTGGTCCAGGGGATGCATGAGGTGAGGGCCTTCTTCTGGATGGGAACTCTCTACAGTGTCCCGTGGTGACCAGGGTGTCACATGGCAAGAATGGGCTGAGCAAGAAAGCCAGACTTTTCACTTGCCCTCCTTTTGAAACCATGAGAACCATGCCCATGACAACCTATTAAACCATAATGGATCAATCCATTCACAAGGGCACAGTCCTTGGGATCCAATTGCCTCTTAAAGGCCTCATCTTCCACCACATTGCAGATTGAGTTCCAACATGAGCTTGGGGGCAAGGGGGACATTCAAACCACAGCATTTATATATTGAAGGAAAATAAGTGGTGATTATTAATGGTTTTCATTTTAACACAGGAATTACCAGCAAAATATAGAACTCAGGTCACTTGGCATTTTTAACCTTTTGACACTGAGAAAAAGAAACTTAGCTATTTCTGAGTGTCTTTTTGAAAACATAATTACTAAAGAGCAGCCTCATCATTAAAAATGCGATAGACTGCTAGTTGTGAAATAGAGTTCCCTACACCCTCATAACATACTCTATATGCTTCTGTGGAATTGCTTGCTTAGCCTAAGTAACTCTATTTTGCCCCCTGTCTGACCTGCAGACTACCCCCCGCTTCTGCATGAGAAACCGTTGACCTTCTCATAGAAACAAAAACAATTGCATAGAAACAGGCGCCATACACAGTGAATTATTACATAGGAACAGGAACCATACACAATGAAACTTGTATGCTTGACTGCTCGAACGGCTCATTCTCGGCCTCTGTGACCTAGCTCCCTACCTTGCTTTGTGCACCTGGACAAACCTGTGTGCCAACGGGATGTAGTTTTTGCCTTTAAAAACCCTACAAGACCAAGCCCCGATGCTGCTCTTCCTTGTTTGCTCCTTGGGAGATGGTCGCTGGCCAACTGGAGTGAATAAACTGCCGTTTTCTGCACGAGTGGCATGTAAGTGCATTTCTTGTGGGAGGGTGCCTCACAACAGTTGTTTTTCTGAACTTGGAATGTCTCCTTGCCACAGGCTGCCTGGCTAAGACTACATTCCCAGCTAGGCATGCCATGAGAATAAGGTCTTGTCAGCGGATCGTGAGTGGAAGTGATGTGTGTAACTTCCACTGAGTTAGCTTGAAAGAAATGTGCCTGTCTAGGGTCACCCCTCTGTCTCCCTCCCCACTAGCTGGAATGCAGACTGCCAGTAACAGCTTCAACTCTTCAGATGATGCCAAGATGATGGAACAGAAAGATAGAAGGAAGCTGGGGCCCTGAGTAACCTTGAGGAGCTGAGCTGCCCCACCAGCCTGACTGGCTGGGCTGTTACCTGAAAGGGAAATTAAATTCAATCTTTTTAAGTCACTTTATAATATTTAACTTCTAATTCAAGTATAGTAATTATATAAAAAAATTACAGATGTCTTAAGTTTTCTAGCTCACTGAATTTTTATAAACTGGACACACTCTAGTAAAAAGTATCTAGATGAAGAAGTGTAATATATCCAGGAACCCAGATGGTCTTCCTCATACTCCTCTCCAGGCCTATTTGTCAAGGACTTAGTAACAGCATAAATTGACTTGCCACCTTTCCTACTTTATGTAAGGGGAATCATACAGTATTGCAGTAGATAGGAAATAATGGTCATAATTTTTTCCCATTCCTGCACGCATGACCCTTTGTAATGTGACTTTTCATTAAGTAGGGTCTATTTCTGCATCCCTTAAATCTGGGCTGACCTTTTCAGTTGGTTTGACCAAGAGAATGCAGAGGAACAGACACTTTGCAACCCTGAGGCTAGGCCTTGAAAGGCTTTGCAGCTTCTACTTCACCCTCTTGGAATCCTGCCCTCTCAGATCACCACAAAAGGAAGGTGGTCTATGCCAAGTGGAGAAGATCTGAACACCACCAGAATGAGGTCATGGGAATGGGGACCTTCCAACCCAGCCAAATCTGCAGCTGAATGCAGCCTTATAAGTAAACTCAGGTGAAGTCAGAAGAGAAACTGCACAGCTATCCCACAACATCATGAGAAACAATAAATCACTGTTGCTTTAAGAGACTAAGTCTTGGAGCCGTTTCTCATGCTGCAATAGATTTAAGTGAAACAAGTATGTGCTCTTTATTTTGGGTCAGGCTTCTTTTGCTCAACATGTTTATGAGATTGATTCATATTGTTGCATGTGATTGAATACCAGTCATCCTCATTGCTGTATTGTATTCCATTGTGTGAAAATAAAATAATTTATCCATTTAACTACTGATGGGCATTTGGGTAGTTTCTAGTTTGGGGCTCATGAATAATGCTGCTATGGACATGCTAATAATGCATGTTT